CCACTCTCCACTTCTTGCCCTCCAATTCAAGTAAAGGTGGCTCCTTCTTTACAGCTGGTTTGGGAGAGGGGCTGATTCCTGGTTTAGGTGCAGAGAACGGTTTGGGACCACTTCGTACAGGACCACTCTGAGCTTTCAGGGCGGGGTTCTTGTGAGTCTTCATGTCATCAGATACGTGTTTTAGGGCTGTAAGAGAACAACAGCTACTTTGTTCCTGTTCCTCAGACCAAGACTCTAGGCTAAAGCAATAATCAACTGCTGCTATCAGAAGGTAAAACGGATTCTTAACAGAAAACATAGAGCAAAAATTCAGTCTGAGAGGCTCCCAGCCCAGGCCCTTCTGCCCAAAAACTTTTAAGAGAAGTACTTTTGTAATGTCTCTCCTTGTCCAAGGTTAAATTATAAATTCCCATTTTTAAAATGTTTTCTCAAAAAAAATTTTTTTTCTTCTCCATCTTTAAAAAAATGTGGATATGTATGGTAAAGGAGAAAATGGTGCATACTGCACAGAAAAGATTTAGAAAGACACACCAAATGTATAATCACAAAAAATACAAATAAAGTTTTTAAAGCAATTAATAGGAAAAGTTATATACTACTAAGAAAATGTAAATACAGCAAAACTTTGCCCAGTCAACCTTCCCCTGTCCTCATTACAAACACAATTAATGTGAGCATTTGAAACTCTGCTTCTTTCTTTCTCGTCATGTTGTTGCTGCAGGTGCCAAAGTCCACTATGATTCATAGTGGACCTATGAACAGCAGATAAAACCCTGCCCTATCTTCTGCCATCATCACAATCTCCACCAGGCTGAACCCACTGTTGTAGTCACTGTGTCATTCCATCTTACCGAAGGTCTCCCTCTATTTCACTGAACTGGTACTTTTCCAAGAACTGGAGCCTCTTGACAGCAGGCCCAAAGTACACCTTTGCCTCTAAGGGACACCCTGATTGCACTTCTTCTCAGACAGACTGACTTGTTCTTTTGTCAGTCAACGGTATATTCAATACTCCTCACCAACACCACAATGCAAAGGGATCAGTTCTGTTGTCCTTAGTCATGGTCCAGTTTTCACAAACAGAAAAGCCCACGGCTTGGAGCAGGTGCACTTTAGTCTTAAAACTGACACCACTGCTCTTTAGCACTTTAAAAATGTCTTTGATAGCAAATCTGCCCCATGTCACAAACCTTTTTATTTCTTTACTGCTGTTCACAAGGGTTTTGATTATGGAGTCAAGTAAAATTACACTCTTCCCAACTTTAATCTTTTTTCCATTTATCATAATGTTGCCTACTGGTCCAGTCATGAGGATTTTATTTTCTTGATGCCAAGGTGTAATCCATACTTAAGGCAGTAAGGTGGCGTCATCTACATAGCCCAAGTTGTTGACGAGTATTCTAATCCTGAAGACACATTCTTCTTCATACAGTCTTCTTGAATTATTTGCTCAGCATGTATATTGAACAGGTATAGTAAAAGCATACAATCTCGATATAGTTTTCTTGATTTTAAACCATAAATCAGTTATATTCATAGTTATCTTACATTTGGTTTTAACTGTACACAACAAGTCTGGTTTAACCAGTTTTCTTAGGTTAATTTCTAACATCTGAAAATATATTTATTTCCTAAGGAAAACAGATTCCACAGTCTCCTTTAACAGCTGATGCACACCTTGTTCTTGAATATGGCCCAATCTGTGCTAACTAATACTGAATGACGACAATTCCTGTAGCTTACATATTAGATTCTGATGTTGTTGCTGTTGTTGAACACAACATAGTTCACTGTAGAAAAAAAATTTAATGGCTACTCGACCACAAGAACATACTATAGTGAAACAGTCCCCAACTGTTAAACATTTATCTTATACTATTTTCAGTATTAGATATGGGAGTGTAAAAACTTAATCTACAAATTCCTGGAAGTGGGTAAGAACAATTTTTAACCTTCTTGACTCAAAATTTCAAGATGGCAGTACAATTTAAGTTTTTACCAGCAGTGAATAAAGTATCTTAAGTTTCTTTGTACCAACATTAGGTAATTCTGACTGGTATGTATTGTCTGAGGAAGTTCAGTATGCCTCCAACACCCCTACCAGTGTTCATGAAACTGCGAGTTCCATCCCCCGTATCTAGGCACAAGAAAGGCTATGTCACTAATTGTTATATCACTCTCCCATGAGAAAAAGCATCTCCCCAGCAATAATCATTCATTTCCAACTTCCCTTTAGGCCAGTTCTGCTGTCCCTTTGGGTAATTTGAAGGAACATAATACTGCAAATTAATTCACCCACACACAAGGCTGGATTCTGGTTTACAGACTTAATTTTAAAAAAAAATGTTTTAATAATAGTATTTATTTTGGGGCTGTAAGATGAAACGTAAATTATTTTTACTTGGCTACCTAAGATTTTTCTGTTTTCTAAATTTTCTTCCAAGTGCATTAAAAAAAACAAAACAAACAAAACAGAAAAGCACCCTTTATATATCAATTGCTAGAAAGAGAGAAACAAGAGAGGAACAGAATACCTGGACAGGGTAGTTCTGGGAAGCATAAATCAACAGTGAAACCAAGGTTTGCTACAAATGGCAGAGAGGGAAGCCCAGGTAAGTGAAGGCTCAGGCCTCCCCTCCCCTGTGGCTGGCTGGTGGGAAGAGGCCACTGCACATGTACTTGCTTTTCTCCTTTACTGCTCAGGTGGTTAGATCACATAGGGAAGGATAATAAGACTCCATGTTATTTACTTCAACTCAATCCTCGTGACATAGCTGTTGTGGTGTAAATATGTTAATTTCACCACTTCATATTGTGTCAGTAACCCTTCTGTTATGCTTTTATGTTCTTCAAATTTGGGTAACACAACTGCAATATAGCCTTCAGTGATGGCTTCTCTTGAAGAATGGATGGCTTATGCAAAATGTTTTCATTTACTTCCATCAAACAGCCTCTAACACAGCTAGATACGGTGTATTTACAATAGTAAATTTTACACAAAGGTGCAAGTTCTGTTGGAAACTGTGCCCCCATTTACATTTCCAGAGACCTTGTTCTGAAGTCTGCTACAGTAGGTATTGATTGATCTGATAAGAAATGCTTTCAATGGTTTTTCAGCTTTGAAGACTTGGATGAGATCCTGCCAGTGTGACGACACATAATTCAGTTAGAGTGCTATAGTATACATCTGCCTTGCACCAGAGAGTGAAATAGCAGTACACCAGCGACAGTACTGAAGGTTAGGCAGCTACCAGTTTGGTAGCCATGGTGACCTCCAGCATGGCCAACCCACCCTTCAAGTACCTACAGACTTTATTTTTCTATCTCTGGTTGGTAATGTCTGGTCCAACCAATCTGATATACCAGCTCTTCTTGACAAAGCATGAACTTACCATGTGTGATGCTTTCACCCTGATTAATCTGAGCAAACAGTGCGGAGCGTGAAGCAGAGTCATCTGAGCCTGAACTGGTGGAGACTGGAGGGGGAGGTGGGCCTGGTGGGGGGGGAGGTGGACCTGATACAGCAGAGGGTCCAGATGGCAATCCACTCAGTTCTTTTGCCACAGGCCCCTGGAACAATAGACATAGGTAACAAAATCATCCTGTTTCTTTCCCTCTGTTATCATCTCAGTAGGGCCCTATCATGTGTCCAAGGTACATGGGGTACTGTAGCCCAAGATGATAATGTTTTCTACACATATTCAGCTTTATTACTTTTTACTCATTCCTCAAAATACATCTCTCTGCTCTATTTCTTGGCTTTCACATCTACTGAATTCTAGCTCTAAACTTCCATTTCTAGAAATCCACTTCACATTTCCCTTGTGAAGTGCCTAATCTGACCTAATGTGCCAACAATGTCTCAGAGTCAACAAGTTCCGAATGGATTTCATTATTTCCTGCCTGCTTCCCTACCTATATAATCATCCTGTTGCCCCTACTTCAGTGACAGACATTACCATCTAAGACTGAATGTTCTTTCTTTCTTTCTTATCTTCCCTCAACCTCTTCAAATTTTTCTGTCATACTGGTTGTATCTCCTGCAAATTTTTTTGACCATTCTCCAGCAGCACAGCCACTTCTAGAATCTGAGTATGAGCCTTTTTTTCTCACCTACATAATTATTTGTATAAAGTCCAATCCCCTCAATTTTCCTTTTCAGCCATTCCTAAAAATCTGACCAACTCCTTATACTAAAAGCAGAGATGACCAAAACTCTGGTTTTAGATGAGGACTTTTAATATTTACTCTGCTCCAACTGTCACTTTTGCCAATATCCTAATTTCACAGAGTCCTATATTCCTTCCAAGTCTCAGATCAATGTACTTTTTCAAAGCACTACCTTTCCCAAAAGTAACTCCTATCCTCATACTCTAATAGACTGTATCTTTATCACAGCATTTAGCTGGTGGTCTCTACTGGTTTTATATATGTATCTTCCAGCTCCCTCAAAGGACTAGGACAATGTAAGACATTCAACTGTGTCCCCCTTTTACATTAATGCCTCTGATTTATGTTTATTGACAATAAATAGAAAAATTTTTTCTCCTTTGCCCCTTGCTTTCTTTACTTTTGTCTATCCCCACCCCAACCCCTTCTCCTACCTTTTCTATCATCCAATGAAAAGGCTTTACATTCTTTCACGGCTGCTAGGAAACTCATGAGTACTCAAACCGAGGGAATAACGAATAAGGACAGGGGAAGGACTCACTAACCGTTTTGCTCCAGGCCAGCCCAGTGGTATGGAACTCTTTAATGTAAGTCTGTAGTTCTGTCCATATACTCAAATAAGCTTTAACCCAGTCCACATGTTTCTTATCCCTGGGAGAATTAAGAAAGAATTCATTATAGGGACCTAGGGTACATTACAAGAGTGGTTCCAAAGACCTTTTCGTTAATAAAAAAACTGAAAACAAAAACAAAACAAACCACAAAAACTCTATCCATGCTCTATGACCCTCAATTAGAGGAAACTCCATTTCCATGCAGGCACACTGCATTTTCTCTTAGCTGTTTTTGCCAACAGTTTTCTTTAGTAGTAGACTAACTTTTTTTTTTAAAAAAAAGTAAACCTTACACATAATCTAGTAAATATTAGGTTATAATGTTTAATATAATATATAAATAATAAAAAACAAACATTCTGACAATGAAGCTTGGTGTAAAAACCTCTTGAGCATTTCTGTGGAACTCTAGGGTCCCAGGAAATGCAAATTGCCTTATAACAAAATATGTTCCCTACTCCTTCTCCTCACCAAAAATGCAAACCTCACATTAGAAGCAAACAAACCAGCATTATGTTATAGAAATAGTATAGCAATATATAGTTCAAGTTCCTTTTCATCTATAGATTAGCTGGAAAATTTTAGGTTATTTAGTCTAACACTCAGTTCCCTCCAATACAAAGTGATTAGTTAACACTGGGAAATAATCAAATCATCAGGACATTTAATTCATCATGCTGATGAAAAGATCAAGTGCTTGGTATTCGGGAACACTCTTCATGCATACAAAGGCTTCTTCCTTGTACATAGTAGTTACTCAACAACTACTGGTTGGTTGAAGATGGATGGAAGAAAGGGTTTGGGTAGCTATGCAACTGATTAATAGCTGCTTGTCAATCATTCCTGCTCAAAATTAGCAATGGACTCATGCACATAGGTAACAACATATAATGACCTTATTTGTTATCTTCATTCACTAGGCCAGCTAAGTCTCACTTAAGTGCATGAAAACAGGTTAATATACTAGTAAATCCTACTGAATTCTTCACTATAAGACCACATAACCTAGGGAAAAAAAAATTATATATAAATGGGCAAACTCAAGGGTATAGAGTTTGTTACCTCCAGCAAAACCTAAGACCATAGAGGGTAAGATTCAGAAGAGCGAAATGGCCTCTACCAATGATTAAAAAAAGTAGAGACAGAAGAACTTCCCACGTGCAAATAAGTCATGTTTATGAGCCAATGTTTACCAAGTTTTCCAGAACACGGCTCTGAAATATAACCAATGGACAGCCTTAATCCCTAAGTTCTACATCAGTAAATAACCAGCTATATCTGTGTTTACTGTTCTTTTGCCTCTGAGGAAAAAGAGAACTTACACATCTTTGTACTCCTTCAGGACTCTGTTTGTATAGAACATGGCAGCATCATTCAATTCTTTCACGTAGGGACCAGGCTTGGGAGCCTAGAGAAACAGAAGCTGACAGTAGCTAAAAACTTCTACAGTTTTACTTCCTTACCTCTTTGAGTTCATCCCTTCCCTCCCTTGGAAGTTGCAGTGCTTACCATAGCTACCCAACCCAGTGCCTGGATGCTTTCACTGACAGCTGACAAGTGATTGAACAATTTGCTGCCTCGGTTCTTCTCTCGGAACGTTATCACTTCTTGGATCTGCTCTGAGATAGGTGCCAACAATTCAGAAAGCTTATTCTAAGAAAAGATGCAGGAGAGATTCAGGTTATAGTCCTCCTAGAAGAGCTTTGATATATTAGTCAAGTCTGATCCTGAAAGCAAGTATTCTCTATGAACTACAGGGAGTATCCATATAAACCTTGTCTTTATAAATGTAAAATATTGCTCATCATCTGACTCTCCTCACAGGGTCATAACACCTCAGATGAATTTTGTGCTCATTCATGATCATGCCCCATACTCTAGCTCTACCATTTTCGCTACTGGTCTCTGTTATATTCCACTTGTAGAAGATAATAGTTCAATTCCCTGCCTTTCCTACTCACAATGCTCTCTTCTTTCTCCCTCTGGTCAAATGTTCCTCAGGCTACAAACTCAAACTCATTGCTGTTGAGTTGGAACTGGCATAGCTGACCCTTCAGTGGATTTTCTGAAACTATAAATCGCCTAAGGAGGAGACTGCCCATTTTCTAAACTGCTCTTAGTGTATTCAAACTGCCAAAGGCTTGGCTTTTGGGTTAGCAGTGACACTGCCTATGACCTCGGCTACCTTGCACTTCACAAGAGCCTTACTCTAAGCCAACTCACACCAGTCTCTTAAAACATTTACTGTTAATATAACCAAGTTTGGTACCATATCACACACCAACACTACCTATAAATGAACTAACAGGGTAGGTTTTACTAGTTATTGAAAAGAAAAAAGGGAGTGGCTTTATTTTACCTCTCTTCCATAATCCCAGTAGCCCTCACAACACATTGCTAGGCATATGGTATATGCTGAGTAGAGATCTGTTTGAATCATGTGCATTTAGGGAGCGTGGCATTTGAGATGTTTTGGCAATTAGCAAGACTTAACTAGATGAATTCTTTGTGTCCATGAAAAAAAAAAGTGTTTATTATTATTTCAAAGTTTGATTTCCTGAGGGAGCTCTAGTGGCTTAGATGTTAGCTGCGCTGCTAACCAAAGTGTGATTTCCTGAACAACTAAATTCTCAGATAGGAAAAGGGGGGAAAAATTTAAAGCAGGGATTGGCAAACTATTTCGGAAAGGATCATTAGACTTTGTGGGCTATTAGGTCTCTGCTGCAAATAGACCACACAGCTGTGCTTCAGTAACTGGTTGTGTCCTGTATTTGGCCTGTGGTCTTTAGATTCTTGACTCCTAGTCTAAAGCAAAGGAAACAAACCTAAGCTTCTCAGCTGCTTAATTTGTTTTGCAAAGTGTGAATTTCAAGGTAATGTTTCAACAGAAGTATTTAACCATTCAGGATAGATTAAGAATCAGAGTCTGATATATTTTACATTATCTTATTTAGACATGCCAAAGTGATCAAAGATTTTTATATCATATTAGCATGAAGGCTTGTTTTGTTACCCTCCTTTGTGTAAGAAATCTAAATATAAAAAAAAACAGAGTAAAATTAAAAATTCTGGCTTTGAGAAAAATGAAATTTTTTCCTAATTCAACTGTTTACACATTGGCAAGATTAAATTTAAAGTAAGAGTAAAGGTGATGAAAGAGCTCTAACCAGAGAAGGATGAGGAAAGCAGCAGTTACTTCTGATCTCCATAGCAGCAGGACTAAAGTTCACCCACAGAGAAAGAAAAGAACCACTTTTCTCTTTCCAAAGGGCTCAGGAGAAAATATAATACATTTGACCCAAAAATGCTTTAAGCTCTCTATTAAGAGGCAAAGTCTCAGGGCAATCACTGATCTTTAAAAAGAAAACCAGGGAGCTCTGGTGGCCTAGTGGCAAGAAGCTGCACTGCAATCCCAGAGGCACGGGGTTCTAATCTACCAAATGCTCTGCTGAAGAAGGAGGGGCAATCTCCTCCTGTACCAGTCAGATCCGATTTGATGATACACATTAAAAAAAAAAAAGAAAACCCAAACAAACCAGCCAATGAACACCAGTAAATAGATCCACCCTCTCTCTACACTCACTCCCATTATAAGGTTCCAAAGACCAGGCTACTTTGCAAAGATTGGTGTTATGGGAAAATTGCATAATTGCCAAATTATATCATTATATATCTGCCAAACCTCTGAGAACCAAGCCAAGCTAACACATAACCATCACAGGCAGTGCTGCTCTTGCTTCAAGACACTTGACTTTTAATTAGTGTCTTAAATTTGAAACATCAGATAATTAAATCGTTAGTAAATGTGAGGAGATATATGTAATATTCTCATAATTGGGCTTTGGTGTCTGACTACTATGCCATCAGGATGCCTTATCATGAGATTGGTAGATATATTTTTAACATGCTGTGACAGCATGTGAACTTACACCTGCTGGTTGCTGGCACTGAGAAGCTGTAACCAGGAGAGCTCGCTCCAACTTCAGACCAGTATGGACCATCTCTGCCTGCCAGAAAGAGAAGAATCAGCTATCAATTGCACATTACAATTACAGCGGTCTTGATAAGAACAACCTGAAACCTCCACTTCCACGTACTGTGTAGCAATCCAGGCACTTGATGTTTCTTTTCTCATGTACTCCAGATTTCAGATGATAGCTGAATTATATACACCACTGTCCCTGTTGGAACTCATTCACAACACTATCCCTGATTATCTTCCTTTCCAACTCTGGATATTATTCTTGATGTTGGAACTAATTAGGATTAATATCCTGAGTTGGAAAGAAGAAAATGAGGAATAGCTTAGGTGACATAAGATGAACAATTATGCATACAGCATGTCATAAAATACATGAAAATCCCTCTACCAAAAAATATCTCACACCAAAAGTTGTTTTCCCCCAAAAATTAGATGTAGGAATAAAGGTCTAAATTTATGTTTCTGTTTCTCAAAATATTCTTCCCCTTTATTTAAAGTGTCACTTCCTAAGAGACAATGTCTGTATCACCCCATCCATCTATCCAAAACAGCACCCATATTCCCCTTTTCTTACTCTCTTTTTCCACACTACTTAGTTCTGTCCATTTGCTGTACAGAGGTAACCTGTGGTTGCTGTGATGCTAAACACTGTGACACTGATGTGTCAAATGTGATAATGGTTACCCATATGGTAGACAGTGTTTGGTGGAGCTCCCCAATTAAAACAAACTTGGAAGCAGGAGTGGCATCCACTTGTGAAATAGCTTGCCTCTGGAAACTATGAACTGGAGAAACGATGAAAGCTATACAAGTGTTCATAGGGTTGTTATGAATTGTCTATGACTTGACGTCTATTTCTCAGTTGCTGGATATGATTCATTACCATACTTAATGTTGTCAAGTCAATTACAATATACAGTATCTCTTTAGGGCAGAGTACAATTGTCCCCATAAGGTTTCGAAGGCTGTGATCCTTATCAGATCATAATGCCCCATCTTTTTATACTGAGTGTTTGGTGGATTTGAACCACTGATCTTTGGTTAGTAGCTGAGCTCTTTTAAACACTGTGCCACTAAGGTTCCTCATAAGCCATTAGCATATAATTACATCAATTTAGTAAGCCACGACTAGTACTTTATTGTGTGAAATAGAATAAAAATATTAAGAGTGTATAGAACAAAATACAAAAAAGACCTGCCCTATTGGTCCGACATAGGTTAGTGAACCCTCCAAGACTATAGCTCTTAGATACCCTTCAAACTTGTAAGTGAACTCGTGCCTGGGATCAACTTTCAGACAAACAATAGACAAGCCTAAAAAGAATATTAACACCAGGGAAGAATGTACAACTAACCATATGAAAGCAATATTTGCCAACAAAGAAAGATCAGAAGGCAGGAAAAAAGACAAATGAAAACAGTCAACTCAGGGAGGAATTGAGAAGATGTTGTTGTTAATTGCTGTCGGGTAGAGTATGACACATGGTGACCCTATGAAAAAAAGATCTGAACCCTGCCCTTTCCTCATACCTCCTGAAATACTAGAGCCTACTGTGGCAGTCACCATGTCAATCCACCTGGTTGAGGGCCTTCCTCTCCTTTGCTGACGTTTTTTCACCTTTCTAAGCATCATGCCCCTCTCCCTTCAATATTAGCCATAACTTGTTATTATCTAGTCAAATGCTTTTGCATAGTCAATAATGCGTAATTAGACATCCTTCTGATATTCTTTACTTTCAGGCAGAATCCATGTGAGATCAGCTGGCACTGAGAAGCTGTAACCAGGAGAGCTTATTGGTGATATCCCTTGTGCCACAGCCTCTTCTAAATGCTGCTTGAACTTCTGGCAGTTCCTTATCTGTGGACTGTCTAGAAGTGGGAAGAGTGCTGCCGCATAGAGGAGTTTGCACTCAATGCCACAAAACAAAATGTGGAAAATTGTTGAGCAAAAACCCAATTTTCTCTGCAAACATTCACAGAAACAATAAAATAAACAAGTATGAATGCAGTGTATCCATTTGAAATTACTCCTAAATAAAAAGTAAAATACAAGACTAGTACAAATGGTATGAACACTTTCATGAGACTTTAATCTTAGTTAAAAAATTTAACAAATTTAACTGAAGACAATGCTCAAAAAGGGTTTAAGAACTTTAAGGTCAGAAGCACTATTAAAATAAGAAAATTTAAAGATAATTTTTTCCTTGATTTTCACTTTTGAAACACAAAGTGATATATGTCTAAAGCAGCTGTAAATATTATAGAAGGGTAACAACAGAAGCTCTCCCACTACTATCTAAGTCCCAATTCCACTCCCTAGAGTCAAGAGATGGTATAAATGGTTCAAAATAGATCTTCCAAAGGTCTTACTGAGGAATGAGGAAGATTCTAAACATGGTTATTATTTACAAAGCATCATTCAGAAGACAGCAGGAAGGTTCTGGATCCCAAAGGGGGGGAGAGAGAGAAGAGGGACTGTGTATGTACATGTGGAGTGGAGGTGGGGACAGTGTAGGAGGCAGCACGTGACGGAAGGTGGGTGAAGAGACACCTGTCACTGTCTCCTTCAACTTCTTGCTGTGGGCAAAGAGTAAAAATAACCGGTATTAACACAATTAATAACTACCAAGCACAGTTTTATAAGTGCTAAGTCATGATAATAACTCCTTTGACTAAGCCACCCTAGGTTTGGTTATATAATATGTTGGGTTCAGACTGGCAGCCTATTCCTCATTGCAAAGATTAACAGAGCCATATTTCATGCACTAAGCACAGCTTTTTTTATAAAAGCAGCCCACACAGAGTAAGTAATTAAAGCAGGGCTAGGAAAAAGATGAGGAATCATTCCAGTTCTTCTCAGTGTAGGCAGAAAATTTCAAGGAATGCAGCCAAGAAAATCTCAAGATCTTAAACCAAGGAAAGAATTTAAAGAAAGCTGCTAGTTCTTAAAAACATGAGGAAAACAGCAAACATCCTTACATGCTTCTGCACATCTCCTCCAATCTCTTTACTGATCTTCAGGTACTCTGCCACAGGACCAGCAAGCAGTGAGTCAAATGCTTGCACATACGGTGTGGCTCCT